TGATACAAACACAGTTTATCTGTGGCCACGGGTTAGGTTAAGTTGAGACACTTTCTGTAAGATCCATGTACAAAATTGATATGAGGAGGGGGGTCCAAAAATCGTTCTCTAGGAAATTACCAAATAGTCTTTGTTACACTTACATGAAACTAAACCGTCCATTGTCTAGATTTATATATTAATATCACAAGCTGGATTGAGATTACTTTAAAATGGCGAACCTACCATCAATAGGTAAATATGAATAACAAAAAAGATTAGAGTAGTCTAAAGGGGAGTTAAATTGTGAAAAGGGGAAATGTATTAAGAAAAGAAAGTTGAGGGAACGGAAGATGATGGCAAGAGAGTTCAAAGCCAGGTCATTCAAGGGCAGAATGGAAGGCATCGCAGATAATTTGGATTTCAATAATTATTGAAATAACTACAGCTGTTTTGTGCTATCCTGGGAGAATTAAAATAAAGTCAGTGTTGCTACGCGTACACTCAATTGCAAAGTTTTGTTTCTTATATTCCTCTTAGAGACTGCAGTCTGCACAGTGCACTCTGCATTACGTCTTTTTTGTAAAAAAATGTTTTTCTGGGTTCTTTGATTTAAAGTAACTTTTTCCTTCAACTAGATAATTCTTTTGTCCAAATAAATATTCTTCCGTCCAGCTGAAGTAGTTATTTTCGGAAAAAAGGAAAATAGTTAAACAGTTAAAAGTACGAATTATTATTAGAAAATAGAAGGCAAGTATCTTAAACTGTAATATTTCTAGTTGTTGCTGGTTTAAGTCCCTCTGCTTTAGTTACTACAGGGATAGGATTCTTTCCGTTCCTTCTAGCTTCGTNTATCAATAAAACAAGGTTAGCCTACTATCAATATAACAAGGTTAGCTTAAAGCATTCCCTCTAGAATGAAGGGTTTGGGCGTAATAAACGAATTGAGGGATCAAGCACTTGCCCCCCAAATTTAAAAACTTTAAATTTAAACCACAGTGTATACCTGTATCAAGTATTGTAGTTGAGTGCTATCTCACACTAAAGTTATAAATTCTGTTTTCAAACATACAATTTAAGGACTCTTTCAACAAACTTAATCAATATGAGATATTTGTTTTCAAAATTATTTTACATAATATTTTTTTTAATGAGTAATGAATGATGAATGAGTGCTAAACAAATTTTTTGAAATACAATTTTTCTTATTTTTCTAGGAAGATCCAGAATTGAAGCCGTATAATCAAGAGAAATTATTCAAGTATTATGATTTCATTGTTGTTGGTAAGGTGTTTTCAAGATACTTTTTGGGAGACAATCTCAGTTTTACAGGTTTTCAATTTATAAAATTTTGATTAGGTGGTGGTTCAGCTGGAGCAGTTGTTGCGAACAGACTGTCTGAAAATCCAGACTGGAAGGTTGGTGCTGCAAATATTTTCGAATTCAAAGATAGATGGTAACTGAAAAAAGGGTACTATTTAAAAGTAACCTTTTTATTTTTAGAACCTTATAAAAGTTGTTTTATAAAAAAAATAACCCTGACACCAAACATTTAAATTAGTTCTTAAAGAGGAAATATTCTCCAATTTTACAAACAGCAGAAATATATCCCTAAGTTTATTTTTACTATTTTTATAATTATGTTTATCCAATATTACTTCTAAGGTTCTTCTTCTTGAAGCTGGTGGAGATGAATCTGAGATATCAGATGTTCCTGTTTTAGCTGCTTATCTCCAGCTGGGTAGAATGGACTGGAAATATAAAACTGAACCGCAACCAGGTAAAGTTATCTAAGTATAAGGGTTTAACAATGCCAGTGAAAGAAAAGATCGCTATGCCAAAGGACTTCTTTTTTTTGAAAATATTTAAAAGTTTTTAAATAAAACCATCCTGAGGTTGAATTTGGTCTTTGTCTTGAAAATGGTTTAGATAAACTGACTAATTTGGCAACAAAATAAACAAGAGAACAATCTGCAGTCAACCGAAAACAGGGGCAGATACAGGGGGTGGCGGGGGGACATTCGCCACCCGCTGACAGATTCAGGGAGGGGCGTAGCCCCTCCCTGAGATTTCGAGGCAAAAAATGTTCCCAATTTTATAAATCGTATGTGTTTTTCAATTTCAAGCTTTTTTTATTTAATGGAAATCTTGACTTTCTTTTCTCCAGTTTAATTTAAAAATCAAGGACAACAAGTAAATGTTTTGTTAACGATAAATTTAGAATTAGAAATTTGTAAGAAACTAGACTTAAGTTATAATATTGTTCATATCTAGTAATGTTCCTTAATCAATACTCATTTATCAAAATTGTAATATTGTTCCTAATTTTGATGCATTTAAGTATAACTAGTAATTTCTTTTTGTTTTTAAATTGCTAATGTTCCTATCTTTTAATTGTTCCTAAATTCCTGTCCTAATCATTTATTTTTGTTCCTAATTCCTGAACAATCTTTTAATTTTTCCTAAATTCCTGTTTTAATCCGTTAATTTTGTTCCTTAAAGTTAAAAATCTAGTTTTTTAGTCTTTAGTCATTAATTTTGACTCTTTTTGAGTCTTTTAGGTCAAAAAAAAAAATTTCGCCTGCGGCAGGATTTTTTGTTCCTAATTATTAATTTTTTTGTTCCTAAAAAATCTTGCCCCCCCCCCCTCACTTAAATCCTGTATCCGCCCCTGACCGAAAAAGAAAATGAATTTAATAGATCCTCTAATTGTAACCCTGTCTACTAGTTTTCCCAAAATGTCATGTGTCCCCTGAAATCACATTTTAATTAAAAACTATGCTGAAAAAACTAGGTTAAAGTAAAAAAGTAAAATGAATAAGATGAAAATGAAACCAAATGTGAACGACGTGATGAAAATATGATGAAAATAAACATGATGAAAATAAAAATAAAATTAAGGCCACAGCGAAAATCAAATCCTCAATTTTTAAGGTGTTGCCTGTCTGGGGCATACTAACCAGCGGTGCAACTGGCCACGCGGAAAGGTAGACTTTTTACAAATAATATTTTAAATTCTTCTAATAAATCTTTTAAGGTCCTTGGAGGGAGTTCGGTCCTGAATTATATGCTCTATGTTAGGAATGAATGTGCATCAAAAATAATTGATGCATAAAAGATAATTTTTTGATAAGTCAGAGAATTGAGAGGAGAGGGGGGGGGGGCGGGGGTATGAAACGTTTTACTCCTCAGTCCCCAGGAATTTCATGTTTAGCCTTGTTTAACCATAACTTAGGACAATGTATTTTTGCAGGAAAAACTCAAAAATGTCTATTAAACCTGATATTTCTTGCTTTAAAAAGAATTGAACAAAAGTTTTATTTATTTGTGGTATTGTCATAGTTTGTCTGTTTCTAGTATGATACCCCCTAGCTATCCAACCTTACTATATACACATCCTTAACATGAGCAACAGAAATATAATTCAAGTCAACGTAAAAAATAAAAAATTTTAACATTTCCAAAAAATTGATAGCTTGTGTTAATTATTTATAATTGGAGTCATAGGGGAAAATTAGACTTAATAATTCAAATACTGCGGTTTGTTGCTGGCGAAACTATTTCCATGTGGACATTTTAATTAGTAGAAATTGGTTTGGAAGTTTTCTAAACTTTTTCAGCAAAATTATAATGATGACAATTTTTATCATACAGAGGAAATAGGAAGGATTATGATGGTTGGGAGTCACAGGTAAGTAACCAAATTGTTAGTTTGAAAACTCCCAGATTATCAATCACTAATTACCCATAACAAATGGATGGAATTAGAAATGTTTCTTATTAGTTACCAACAATTCGCCCATCATATAAACATAAAGATATTTAATTAAGGCTGTAAAAAAGACCTTGATAAATGTTGAAGAAATACATTTTAGACACATTTTTACATCGATGATGAGTTGTACTTAACCTTTTTCTGCTTTTAATGTAAAAAAGAAAATTTAAATGCAGTTAAAAAATTTACATTTAAATTGATTTTAAAAAGTCGATTCATAGGGTAACCCTGGTTGGGGGTATGAAACTGTGCTTCATTATTTCAAAAAATCGGAAGATAATAGGTATTTTAATAAGATTAAACAAATTCTATTCATATATTTTATATCCGAGTGCTTAAATCTCCAAAGAGTGCAAAGCTAGGATTCTAGAATAAAGGACAGTTTACACCAGGAACCCTTAAATCTATTGTGTTCAATCTGTGCACCTTAATAAGGGATATCTAAGCAAAGGAACATAGGGCAGAACACCGTTTATATTAGAGGCAGGGGCCAAAACATTATAAGTAACTATAGCTAGCTATAGAGTTTAATTCAACCCAGAAAGCAATGTGCAAATTTTGTATAAATTTGATTTAGGGGTTCCTTTGTCTTTCTTCCTTGATAATTATTGCTCATATATCTTAATGTCTAATTTATTTATTTTTTCTTGAAGGAATCCATACCTAGTGCAGACTAAATATCATTCTTCTGGTGGATATCTATCTGTTCAGGAGGCTCCCTGGAGGTCAATTTAGAAAAGATAAAATGTTTTTGAGCTGATAATCGAAAAAAAATGCTTAAAAATTAATGCAGTAAAATATTATGAAAAATTGCATTTATTTATTTGAGTCCATGGACGCGCTTAATTGAGTGACCTTCTATTTAAAAATATGTATGAGTGACCCTCTATTTAAAAATATGTATGAGTGACCCTCTATTTAAAAATATGTATGAGTGACCCTCTATTTAAAGATATGTATCCCATTCACAAGTTCACAATGGTATAATTTCCTTTGTCAAAGCAAATCCTTGTTTTTCTGCCTGGAAATTGTTACTTAAAATTTTGGTTACAAGATATAACAACCACTTTATAATTACCATTACAAGCGGCTTTATTTCGGTTGAAAGATATGAAAGCGACTCTAAAATTTCGGTTACAAGATATTAAAACTGCTTTATAATTATGGTTTCAAGATATGAAAACGGCTTTATAGTTTCGCTTACAGGATATGAAATTTATAATTTCGGTTGCAAGATATTTAAACGACTTCATAATTTTGGTTAAAAGATATGGAAACGACTTTATAATTTTGGTTACAAGATTTAAAAATGACTTTATAATTTCTATTACAAGATATGACAACAACTTTATAATTTTGGTTGCAAGATATGAAAACAACTTTATAATTACGGTTAAAAGATATGAAATCGACTTAATAATTTCGGTTACAAGTTATGAAAACAACTTTATAATTTCGGTTACAAGTTATGAAAACAACTTTATAATTTCGGTTACAAGTTATGAAAACGACTTTATAATTTCGGTTACAAGTTATGAAAACGTCTTTATAATTTGGGTTGCAAGATATGAAAACAACTTGATCTGTTATATCTTCATTTAAACTCAGTCCATGGTTAAAAAGTAACTTGGTGAAACACTTTAAATGGAGTGTCTCTTATAATTAGGTCGACAATCCTTTTGGACACATGGAATTTATTATTTTCTGATTAAGGTCTCCCTTGGCCACTGCCTTTGTATCTGCTGGAGAAGAAATGGGATACAAAAATAGAGATGGAAATGGAGAATTTCAAACCGGTTTTATGATAGCTCAGGTACTCGCAGGTTTATTATAAAAGTTGATTTTGCAGCTGTAAAATCAGTTGATTATCAGGATTTTCTTTAAAAGTTTTTCATTAGATAAGAAATATTTTTAGAGATTTTTCATATTTAACATTTTAAATTATTTAGGGAACTATACGTCGAGGTTCAAGATGTTCAACAGCTAAAGCATTCTTGAGACCTATACGAGACCGGAAAAATCTTCAGAAAATGAATTTAATAGATCCTCTAATTGTAACNATGGGAGCGCTTACTCATTTTAATTTTTTGACACATCCCTTTTAAGTAGGAAAAAGCTGTAAAAATCGTGGAGGAAGCATCTCCTTCCCCGCTAGGTTTAAAAAGGAAATTAAAACTAGTGTTTTTCATATATGCAGTGATCATGCATCAGCATAAAGCTTAAATATAGTGTAACCCTAGCCTGAACTAGTGGAGAGTAGCAATACATTTTTTGAGTTTTGGTAAAACTTGTATAAACTCTACGTTTTTCAGATCCTTGTTGATAATAAGAACACTGCCTTTGGTATAAAAATGAAGAGAGGAGGTCAAATATACACTGTTCTAGCTAAGAAAGAGGTGAACTTTGAGGAGGGCTTTTATAGGTTTACTCCAGGGCCATTAGCTCTATCGCCAGTCTCTCTTTACCTTGCAGACCTTAAGATTTTGTCTTTTTTTGTGACAATTGTGTTAATATACCCTTATCATAATTGCCCTAAACTAAGAATATTAACTTAATGTCTGTTAAAAATATAAAAATATGATCTGAGCGGAATTAATGAAAAAGAAAGTATTTGAATACCATCTTGTGCTATCAATATCAGCATACACCAACGTCATAGTAAAGCAATTATCTCTTATATACTGTATCTACTAAGTGAATACCATTTTGTGCTATCAATATCAGCATACACCAACGTCATAGTAAAGCAATTGTCTCTGATATACTGTATCTACTAAGTGAATACCATCTTGTGCTATCAATATCAGCATACACCAACGTCATAGTAAAGCAATTATCTCTGATATACTGTATCTACTAAGTGAATTTCCAAGCTTGCTGGTTAAAAGTAGAATTTGACTTGAAAATTTTAGGAACATCCGAAAATGGTGTAACGGTACTGTAAGTTTAATTTCGAGTGATCCTCCATACAAAGATGAAAATGCCCGTTTTACAACGGTATAACCTTAAAACCTCCAGCTGATAGAAAATGTGGAAGATATTTCTGCGAATTTTTTCATGGCTTCTTATAAACAAGAAATGCGCAAGAGAAAATAAAAAGTTAAAAGAAACTAAAACATTGATATCTAATTCATTCTTAATCAGACAGAGCTTTTAAGGGTCCCGTTTTAAATCTGGCATTGCATTACCATCTTTGGGTCACTTGAAATTAAGCTTACAGTCCCTTTCAGAGAGCTGTTTCAGTTGATTTTCGGCTTCAATGGAGAGGAGCTCGCATGTTAAGATTGTGACTTCTCTCAATTAGATATATGTTGGTCGTCTTCACCTTCTTTAGAAATCTTTAAAAATAAGCTGTTTAAGCAATTCTATCCAAGGTTATTCTATCTGCGGGAACGTTGAACTCCGCTCAACTTCTTATGCTAAGCGGTATAGGACCTCAGGTTAGAAATCGTTTATTTAGATAAGAATTAGAATATTAAAAGAGAATCCAACATTTTAAAATTCTCATTTAAATAACATCTTTTTCTTTTATTTTCCTAGTTTTGAAATTCCGTCATTAAATAGTCAGGGGCGTAGGGGGGGGCGGNGCTTACATATATATTCAGCCCTAGAGCCGGAGGCAGCTGCTCTAATTTATTAAACTTACATATATATTCAGATTTTTTACTTTTCTTATCAATCGACAATGTCCAATTAATACTTTTTTCTCGAATTCTTTCTTGTACCTTAATCTTATTTGCAATAATTTTTTCGCGGGGTTTCTTCCAAAATCCATTTCAGTCTCTCAGACCAAGATGATTGACGCAGAGTGTTATTAAACTTTAAATAATACTGTCTCCTGTGTAATCTACAGTGGCGCAACTAGGGGGGGGGGCCGGGGGTCGGAACCCCCAGAGAAACACGGCTCGCTCACCCCCATGTATTTAGCATTGAATTTAGAATTTCAAAGTTTCTTGTAAAATTTATTTACATATGCTGCTTAAAACTAACGACCTCTCAAATTCTAATAATTTTGTTAGTGGGTGTGCCGCGTGGCTAGGAACTATACCTACAGGGGAAGGGGGCACTTTTAAAGATTCCCCCCCCCCCAAGGAAAAGTTGACCCCTTTAATAGAAAAATAAATAACCCTGTTCAAGATATTTATCAAATTGTGGTTTTTGTTGGGTTTGATTTCATTAATTTTTCACACAATTCTTGCATTGACTCTTTCAAATAAAGGCTTCTTACCCCACTGAGAGCTAGGTGGCTGCTCTCAGGGTTTTGGAGTGCTCCCAGGATTTTGGAGTTGCTCCCAGAGTTTCGGAGTAAATGGGAAAATTTATCCGACCTTTTAAAAAAGTACTTTTTAAAAGGTACTTTAAAACCGAAAATTGAAAAAAGGGCTTTGCCAAATTGCCATCCCTTTTTTACTGTCTTATGTTCAGCTATTTACAGCGAAGAAATCGCAAATTTCAGTCCAATTAGCCTTTGCGACTGGCGATCATATAGTTTTTATTCAAACTCGAGGAACTCGGACAGGAACTCATACTGGTGCGGCGTGCCTCCCCCTCGTCGCCCTCATATCATCCCTCCCCTTCCTCCCCTTCTAATCCTTATTTTTTAAAGTCGTTGAATACTCAAGATGAACTCTGAAATGTATTCACCGAACCCGTGTCCAATTCCAGAGTACCAGTGTACACTGTACACTTACAGCACAGCATCAGCATAAGGTATTCAAAATCAAACAAATTAAACTAGTCTCCAGATTGGTGTTTTTTGTTTGTTTAATTTTTTTTGTGTAGTTAAAACTTTTTGTGTTAAATTTGTTGAAGATAAATATTTTAGGCTCACATATTTTTCCTAGAAGGTAACTTTTTGTAATTTGGATTACTACAGTACTTTCATCGCACTTTTGTATGTCCTGTGAATGCTGTGATCATGTCTTACAATAATTCAATTTTTATAAATTCTTTTTTATGCGGTTCATTTCATGGGTCCATCCTAGTATACGATTTTTGGACCTCCCAGCCCCCCCCCTCCTATCAATTTTGTACATGACCTAGATTTCAACTATTTTCAACAAAAAAATATTTATTTTGAATTATTTAAGGGTTAGGTTAGGTTAGGACAATTCCTGGGTCGAGCGCTTTGGCTAGGGCAGGCTACGGTGCCGGCCGCGAGCGCTGCGACCAGAATAGACCTTCAATTTCAAACAATTTTAAATAAAATTGGTATATATTTAGGGTAGGTCCGAGCACTGCGGCTAGGTCAAGCTATGGGGCTTATCGCTGCGGCAAAGGACAGGCTAAGGGGCTAAGCGCTGCGGCCAGGACAGGCTATGGGGCCAGGCGCTGCGGCCACATGACCAACTTTATAATATCTGTGGGATGCCTGCGTAGAGACCGGACCCCCTTGGCTCCAGCATGTTCATGATGGTGAATCATCTTTTATCAAATTTTGTCAAAAAATACCAAAATTTTTCGTTGGCGCTTCGCGCATCATTTCTAATATAATTTGTAACTATTTTCTCGTCTTTGACTTAAAGGAATTAAGTCAGTCTTAGTTTATCTAAAAAAACTGAATATATGATTACAATACATATACCATTTAACACAAAACACAAAACCTGACAATCTAAGAAGAATAATAATAAGAAATATAATAAGGATTACATTGGACTATCAGGACTTTTGAAGACTAAAAGAGAAAACGGGGATAAGTCCTTGCTGGCAAACAATGACAGAGGGACTTCGATTATGGACAGATGAAATAAAGTCGAGTACTGCCAGGAAACACATAGGACTGCACAGGCCTACGATTAAGGGAATGTAGTATGTAGTGGACAAATATAACTAGAAAACGAATTTAAAAAAAACTGCTGTAGACTGTAAAACGGGACTTTATATATACATAGTGAATATGACTAAGCCAGGGACTCAGAGACACCAAGAAATACATGAAAAGACGCTAAAGAACATAAATTTGTTGCCGCTTCGCGCAAGTGTCTCAATTAATAACTCATCTAGTTTCAGGGTAGGGTTTAACAACCTGTTGACAAAAAAAATTCGGCTAGTGCCCCCCCCCACGTTGTTGTATGACTCTATTTTAAGGAACATTTAAGAGACCTAGGTGTTCCTGTATATCAAAATCTGCCAGTGGGACTTAATTTACAGGTATTTAAATCACAAGAAGCAGAGGTTTTTCAATTTATAAGAAATCATAATGTTATAAAAACAGTGAATGATATAGTTTTTCTCTCTACGTTATATAGTATGTAGTGCACCTCAAAAGTTTATCCAAGTGTTAATTACAAAATTCTGGGGTTTTTTGTTAAAAGTACATTTTATATTACAAAGTCAAAGATAAAAAACAAAGTTTTTTGTAAATTAAAAAAAGTGCGTATAATATTTTCATCATCACCAAAGAAAAACAAGATTTTTAGAATATTTACGCCACGGCCCGCTTATATGTATGCTTTTATCTACCGATCTATACTAAATATCAGCAAGGTTGTTTAAATCTTTAGTATCTCCAACAATTTTTATAATACAAAGAAGGAGGCTAAATCTTATCAAGTTTTAAAGACTTACAATGTTTTTCTATACCCCTTTGACATCTATTAATTTTATGAAAACCAAAGACAAATTGTAAGTTCCAGGGTCCAAAGTCTAACGTACTGCATAACACCCCAGTGAAAAAATTACATCAAACCTTGACTATGATATATCCATCTATTATATATCCATGATTTACGCATTTATGCGATAAACTTTTCTTTTGGAAGACTTAATGAATGCTTAAAATAATTTTTAAAAATAATTTTCAAATAATTTTTAAAAACAGAATCCATATTTTGACACATCAAAGTTAGCGATATAAACTTAATTCCTTTGACGAGAAAGGTTAATCTAACTTGTCTTAATCTTCATTCTTCAAGTTTACCTTTTTTCAGATCGCTAGATCGCTAAATATCAGATCGCTAGATCGCTAAATATCAGCCAAACCACACAATTAAAAGTGTCATATCAGCTTATGACATTCTTTGAAAAATTCTCTTAAAGACACATTGGAACTTGCCCTTTCCAATGTGCTTTAAGTGTCCGGCAAGCTTTGAAATGTTTGAAGATACTTTCCTGAGAAAGGTGTAAAGAGCAATCAATGGTTTTGAGGACTCAGTTATTCCTACCCTGGCTCCACGCTAAAGAGGACCTTATTTTCTACTTGATAGGCCGAAATCTAGGCATAGTGTTAACTAGGCATTCATAATTATAGGCATAATGTTATCTAGGCATTACAAACTAGGCACAGTATGATCTAGGCAAAGTAAACTAGGCATTTACTAACTGGGCATTCACAAACCAGGCATTTGTGAAGTAGGCATAAAGTTACTGAGCCAGCAAAGAGATATAAGAGAGCCTTTTGCCAAAAAAAAAATTATTAAAATCGTAGCCTAACCTTTCATATCCCATTTGTCATTATGAAGGCAGAATTTGACGATGGATGTTTTCAGAATTGTCAAACCCCGCTTAGTGCATTGACTTATATTATTTCAACCTGTAAGAATATTGATGAAATAGTGTTTGAAGGTAACTTTTAACAGTTATTGAGTCAGACCTCTTTGGATCAGGATTTAATACTGAAAACTGCAAATACATTTGATATCTACTCACTAACAGTAACTTTCTATTATACTTAATTTGATATTTCTGGTGCCAAGATATCAAATTAAAGAAAAGTAGAAAAAGAAAATTTCCTAGCTAAAACACTTTCAATAAAATTTGCTTGATGGAGGGAGACTTTATTTCGAAAAAAAATTTTAACAAATTGTTTATTTAACTTAAATTGCTCATTTCTGCATAGCTGAGGCTCTATCTGCCTAGCAAATCTGGGAGGCTCGTGTCTGCATTAAAATCTAAAATTATCATATTTTAATATCATGTGTCAGCCATTATATAATAAAACTTTGAGTTTAGAATTGGCAAGAATTTAACTTTTTTCGTGTTCAATCGTGATCTAACGAATTAACGCGTTTATACAAAGACGACTTTCTCTCTGACAATTTAATAAATCACAGGGAAAACGTATCAAAAGTGTATAAGTTATTTTTTGAAAATATACTATTTAAAAATAAATAGCTAAGAGGCTATTTAGTTTAATCTCAAATTACCCAAGGAAGAACGGTCCCTTAAAGTATACAAACAATTAAGCCTTTTTATTGTTTGATGTTGGCAAAAACATTTCATCATTTTTTTACTCTTTCTCTCATTTGCAATAAGATTAGCACTTTTTTCGCAATAAAAATGTACTGATAGAAACCCCGGAAATTGTAAAAACAAGATTGCTTGTTTAAACTTTTGAGTAGCACAACTGTAACGTACTGACCATAATGTCTTGGCAAGCATTTTTTAAAGCTCCCCCCCCCCCACAAAAAAAGTTCAATAGTTTTTTTTGTATCATGTCATTGCTTGATTTTCTGTGTTACTGGCCAAATTCTTTTATGGTAAATGTAGGGGTTCCTAAAACTTTTGTTCAATTTTTGCGAAACGAAACGCCATAATATTTTTTCTTTGCGTAATACTTTTGCACGAAAAAAAACTGCAATATTCGCAATCATTCGCAAATGTCATTTCTCGCAAAATTGCTTCCGCTTTTTCGCAACTCTGTTATGCGCAATTTCGCTTCTTCCGCATAGGAAAAATGTCAGAATAGTTTTTAATTTAAGTTGAGCAGAAGGGAGACCGTTCATATAGTCTTATTTTTTATCAAACTGATTATTTGATTGAAAAATCTATTATTTTACCAAATTCTAATTACCTTTTGATGCGATAAACTGCATTACTTATAAATAATGATTAAAGGGACTATACGCGTAATTACAAGTGACCCTCCATGCAAAGATGACAATGCCAGGTTTACAACTACACCATTGAAATCTTAATCTGTTTAAAATTGTGGGAGATAACGTCGTTTTCCTGAGTTGATAAGTGTTTAATTCTGCTAATTTCTCCATTGCTTCTTATAAGCAAGAATTGCACAAGTTACTTCTGCAGAGAACTCGCAAATGAAAATAACCAGTTTAAAGAAAAGAAATGCATGGATATATAATTCATACTTGATCAGACAAAGATTTTAATGGTACTGTTCTAAATTGAGCATTGCCGTCTTTGAAATTATGCGTACAGTCGGTTAAACAGGATATTAAGTATTAACCAAGTCTCTTGGTCTCTAAGTTGTATTTTAATCATGTTGTCCCTTAGTTTGAAGTTTTGGTAATTGAAAATAACCAATTAAGAGTAGCATAATCATGATTTTTTTTATGTAATTTGTTTTAATAAACCTTCAGTTGTTTGATTCTGTGCTTAAACTGTTAATTTTGGTCAATTTGCTTAATATCATGTTCGCCTAAAACTTTACGTTGTGCGCAATACTTCCAGTTTTGCGCAAATTATGCAAAAAAAAATTCGGAAAAACGCGCAAAACTTATTGCGCTTTATGCACAACAGATGCTCAAAAGTTCGCACCAAAAAAATGTTGCACAAAAATTACTGTCATTTCGTAGAAACCCTGGTAAAATGATTTGTCACTCAACTCTTAGTTGTATTATAGGATCATTGGGGAACTGGAGCACTTGCCTTTACAGTAGATCATCCAGGTCAAAAAAAATGTAGTTTTGGTTGATATACAGGGTGAGTCTAAAAAAGTGTGATTTGCGGCACCTAGTGCAAAATTGTACCTTTTTTGTGTAACTCTGCTATGCTGTATGGTGTTCTTTCAATATTTTTGAAATTTGCATTTTTTGTAATTAATGGCCCAAAAAAATCCGCGAACCTTTTTTCTCTCAAAATCAAAAGTTCAGAAAAACAAAAATGTTTAAATAAATTGTTTCTATCGAAATCTAAAATATTAAAAAGATTAAATTACAGAATCTCAGAAAATTTGTAAAATTGTAATTAGAAAATTCGCAATTTTCAGTTCTTGTATTTTTTTTTCGGAAAAAATTATTTTCAATGATTCTTAAGGTTTTAAGGGAACAGCATGTATATTTAAAACTTATACCAAGAAGAAAGGAACTAGAGAATTTATATAACTTTTCTTAAAAATTAGACCAGAAAAGGTAAAATTTTGCACCAGGCGCCACAAATCACATTTTTTTACTCACCCTGTCACCCTGTATGTTACTTAAAAAATGTATAATTAACGTTTATTGAAAATTAGATTTTTCTTATTTAGATAAAACATTTCTTTTAAATTATCATTTTAAAGAAAATGACTAATTTAAAAAAGAACGTCTTAACCCTGTTGTAAAACATTGCGTCGCACGAAATGGGGGTTCCAATAGCGTCAACTTTAGTTTTATAAAGCACACAAATTTAAGCTATATTTGATATTGCATATTATTAATATATAATTATATGGATATTTTTTTTACAGAATGCTAATATTTTAGTTTCTATAGTGCAACCTCGTATTGAGAATATTCCATCAGTTTTAAAGTATGCTGCATTTGGAACAGGTCCTTTTACTGTCATGGGAGGTGTTGAGGTAAACTATTCTCTCTTGATTACTATATGTATGTACTTTACTCAAGAGTACTCAAGACACATCTAATTTTAAGTCAAAACTATTGTGTTTATAATTCCTGGTTTTATTGGTTAGTCTGTTTCTTTTTAGTCCGGAGGATTAAATTAAATCCTCTTAAATATCTCATGGTTGAATGATTGAATCCCAAAAAGAATATCTATACATTTAGGGATCAAATATTTAAGTTTAAAAGTTTCCGCAGTAGATGTGGATATCATTTTTTGTAAATTAGCGCTATCTCAGAACCAGACGACGTCTGTGACCCCAGAACTGCCTTTTTGCTTCTCCATTTAAGATATTTGGCTTGTCTGTTTGATTCCATTTTTTTCCAGTGCCTCACAGTTAAATGATCCCAGTTAAATTTTTTGGCTGATCAGAATTACAAAATTTTCTCCGGATTATAATTCAAATTTTTCAATATTTTCTTAATACTGCAGGAAACAGATCAATTTGCAAATTTCAATTAGTTATTTTTAATTATAATTAAAAAATATGGTTGCCATTGTAACTTGCTACAAATTAAAAGACACAAGAAGCTTTTTATGGGATAGCATATATCGTCAACATTTTATTGATATATTTTACCACGGTATATTCTAGGGATTGGGTTGGGTGTCAACGAAATATGTCAACAGGTCTGCAGACTGGCCGGATATTGAGTTTCATTTTGTGTCCGGAAGTCCTGCCTCAGACGGTGGACGACAAATCCGAAAGGTAAAATGGCTCCATCTAAAGTTTATAATGGCGACGGATTGTTTCATCATGTAAAAGAAAGTAAATAGACATTTTAAAGGGACTGTTGACATAACTTCAAGTTACACTCTTTTTGTAGAGTGACAGGTTCGATTCACAATGATATCCTGTGCAAATCGTAAAACTAGACTTCATTTTTTCATTGTAGTAATTTTGAATTTGGATTATGGAAGCAAGGCATCTTTAGAAGTCTGGTTTTATTTTATTTATGTGGGTGAAAACATTTTTTCGAAAAAAAATCAAATCTTTTTGCACCGTTATACAGTAATTTGCAATAGAAAAAAAAATCTAAAATCAAAACTCTTTGAGATTTTAAGAACGCTAACATATTTTACCAATTCTAAAGTTTTCTTTGATACATTTAAAAATAATATTTGAGAATTTTCATAATTTTATGTTGCTGAATAGTAAAAAACCAATAATATTTTTCTAATGTGCAATAATGTTTATAAATGTCAATTTTTGTGTTTTTAAACCCGAAATCATTCATTATGTAAAAAATGCCTTACCTCAATAGTTCTTCAAGTTTGTATTAATCCAGATACAACTCTCTCCGCATTCTTAAGTTTGTATCAATCCAGATACAACTCTCTCTGTATTCTTTAGTATATATCAATCCAAATACAACTCTCGCATATTCTTAAGTATGTATCAATCCAGATACAACTATCTCAAACTCTATGCTCTTTACCAAGAACTAACTCTGACCGTAATCAAACAGAGTTCATATTCAACTAACTATATTTTGGGTTTAATGATACAGATAAAGTTTAATCGACCGATTGGTCTGTTCAGAGATTAACAAACAAAGTTGTATATAAGTTCAGGTTTCCAAGATATGGGGGGTTATTACTATATTAATTACAAATGGGGGTAGGAATTTGGATCATTATAGGGCTAACAATCCCTATATGTATCCATACATTGATTTTGTTCTTGTCTTGTCTCTTGTATACATATCTTGTTTTATATTCATTCTGCTTTCCTGTTGGATACTTTGAATATCTTAAACAGGCATCTACTCTCTCCTGTTGATTGCTCATCAGCTTCAGTCATCCATCTGTTGAACTTCCTTCCTGTCAAAATACATGTAGCCTTCATGTAAATGTATCTTAGTTGTAGATTCCATGTATCCTGTACTCATATGAAACTAATCTGATGAACAAACTGTATAACATTTCTGTACTGGAACCGATGTACATTCTTCTCTTGTAACTTGTTTACAATCTTGAACAGGAGCTTGAGTACATTGTTTCCTTTGAACATGGTTAGAAACCTCATTAGGAACCTCATGACAAACCTCTTTAGGTTCACTAACACTTATGCCTGGAAAGGAGTTTCGAAACTGGTTCAGAAACGTCCTTGCAAATTTGGCGGGGCACAGGTCTGCAGACAGGAACGTTGACTGAGGCACATTCTGGAACAGTGATGCAATCTGCGTATTCTTGAGTAACATCTCGGCACTCTTTCCTTGGAATGTTACTGCACTCCTGTCTAGGTTCGTAGGAGCACTTATACTTTTGAACCTTGTCTTGTTTTGGTTCGTCCCTGCACTTCTCTCTGGGTTCATCCCAACACCTTTCCTTAGGCACTTTGACAAGGTGAATTCCATGGCAGACTGGAGTATTCACAAGATAACATTAACAAATGTTCTCCACCGAGCATTCTCTCAAAGATTCAGTTAAGCATTCCTTGACAGTCGTGGTCTGACACTTCTGAACACTTTCAGTTGAACAAACAAGTTCAGAGAGCAAGAATAACAAACCTTCCCCTGAACCTGTTACACTGTCGGTAATTCTCAACCATGGCCCGCTTATATGTATGCTTCTATCTACCGATCTATACTATTCTGGGCTAGTGTACATGTAACTTTGTCGGTGGGCTACGCAGCTGTTATATCTCAGTGGACCCTAGAAATTTTTAGGAAATTATTAAGACCTCTGCATAGCAAATTTTAGGTATTACTATAAAAAAATTTTATTCTGGCTATTGTTCATTCTATAAAAATAATTTGTACATTAAAAAAAGTTTGAAGTTAAGTTCAGGGTCCAAATTACAGAAGAACTTTGGTGGATAGTGGGCCCTGGAGTAATCAGAAATGAGATACTGTAGCTAAAATCTTGTGATCATAGCACTTTCTCCAAAGAGTTGGTAGCATCAAAAGCGCCTTGTTTTTAGAATTCCAAAATGTGGTCTGCCGTTTTTGTACCTTAAGAATTGACTAAGATATTGAGAAATTTGTTTAAAATTCAAAATATTAAATATCAGAAAGGTTGTTTAAATCTTTAGTATCTCCAACAATTTTTATAATACAAAGAAGAAGGCTAAATTCTATCAAGTTTTAAAGACTTACAATGTTTTTCTATACTACTTTGACATCTATTATTTTTAGAAAACCAAAGACTAATTGTAAGTTCCAGGGTCCAATGTCTAACGTACTGCATAACACCCCAGCGAAAAAATTACATCAAACCTTGACTATGATATATCTCTCTATTGTATATCCATGTTCTCAACCTTGCACTGACGATCAGTCATGGTGTTGCACTCCTGTTTAGACTGTTTGTGGCACTTTGTTCTTGTTCTGTAGTGCAATTTTTGCATGGTACATAGTCAATTTTGGTGTAACATTCAGTTCTGCAGACCTTACCGTATTGTGTGAAGCATTTCTAATCTGAGACAATAATAGTGTAGGGTTTCTGCACTTTTTCACAGGTTTGACGAGGCTTATTTTTTGTTTCAGATTTCCCAGGATAAACTTTCATTAGGTCCTTTTCTATAGACACTGTATCTTCTGTTTGTACATCTTCTTGCTGTACATTTTATTGCGGTACATTTTCTTGCTGTACTTTTTCTTTCTGTACTTTTTCTTGGTGAACATTTTCTTTCAGTATATTTTCTTGCCGAACATTTTTTTTTTGTACATTTTCTAGCTGAACATTTTCTTTCTGTACCTTTTCTTTCTGTACTTTGTCTTGCTGTACATTTTAATTCTTTATAATTTATTTCTTAACATTTTTTTCTGTACATTTTCTTGCCCTCCAACTTCATCATCCAAATCCGTAACATCAACAACATCTTCAACATCTTCAACATATTCAACATATTCAACCTCTTCCACACCTTCCATATCTTCAACATCTTTAACATCTTCAACCACTTCACCCTCTTCTACATCTCTTACCTCTTCCACATCTTCTACATCTTCTTCCTAAGAAATTCTTAGATTGGTCCATTGCATCCTTTTGATCCCTTCTCTATGTTTCCAGCTGTCTCGTTCTCCGGTTTCTAATTCACTTCATTTTCGCAATCCGTTTGCTTGCGAAAAATGCGGATATTTTCGCTTCACTTGGGGTGAAAAAATGTTTTAAAAGTCTCAAAAAGTCTAGAAAAATAAAAAAATCCTGGCTGAAATTTATTATTTCCCGCCTCCCTTCAACTAGTAGGTATATAAATAGGTATTATCGCTCTACAACAGGGCGAAAAAGTATTATCGCTCTACAAACAGGGCGAAAAAGTAACTTTTTCACCCTGCTATTCAAATTTCAAATTTCATACCTAATTTGTCTCATTGTAAGGTGATAATATCTATTTATATACCTACTAGTTGAAGAGAGGCATGAAATAATAAATTTCGGCCAGAATTTTTATTTTTTGAGACTTTTTACGACTTTTTAAACATTCTTTTCAACCCAATCGATAATATTGGAAGCAGGGAAGTAATAAATATTATATCCCTGCTGAGAATATTTCATCTCGGCTGACGTGATTTTATCCCTGATGTATTCAGGATGACTTAATAGCATAGTATAATAAGGGCAGCCAAGAAATAAAGTCACTTTATCACAACGGGAAATTGAATAAAAGTTATTTAATAATGTCTAGATATATTCATTTTACATCTCTAGGCCCATGGCATATCTGACAAAATGTGGGAAATGTTTAAACCTTTAATCCACAAGGATGCTTGGTCTGTTATACCAATGATTCTCAGGTGATGCTTTATTTATGGAAAATAGTTCAATATGAAAAATAAAATCTAGTGATTCAATATCACAAAACAGATAGAATAGGTCGGTTTTAGATTATTAACAACGTTTCCCTACCAGATAATCAAGTTTATTTGGGGTTTTGTGAATGTATAATAAGACTGCGGTTTTCGCATTTAAACAACCTGATTTAACTAAATGTCAAAATCGAAAGATGCATTTAAGTATTTGTTATCATCATGTTAAGATTTTCTTATCCAGTCAGGAAAATTTGTCAAAAAAAAATTAAGATGTAGAAAACTAAAAATCATTAACCAAAAATAAGGATTTATGAGAGTTTTTTATTTGTAGGCCAAAGTCTCGTGGAAGAATAATGCTTAGAAGTACAAATCCATTTGATAAACCTCTAATTTATGCTGGATATTTTACACATCCCGAAGATATAAAGGTATTTAATAAAAGGGTAAAACGACATAGAACCATAAAGTGAGACAAACTGGCAAATTTCATGTGGTCTATTTTTTAAAACTATTTTTATGCTCAAGAACTAGTGGCCGTAGCACTCGGCCCCCTAGCCTGTCCTAGCCGCAGCGTTCGTCCCATAATTTGTCATAACCTAACCTAACCCTGAGATAATACATATTTTTAAGTTAAGTTTTATGTTCATTTCAACTAATAGCCGCAGCGAACGTCCCTCTAGCTTGTCCTAGCCGCAGCGTTCGGTCCAGAAATAGTCTTAACTTATCCTAACCTAACCCTGAAATAATACATAAAATGTTTTTTTTCTATTTTTTGTCGCGTTTTTGGCCGTTTGTCGTTTGACCTTAGATCGTTTGAACCTATGTCGGTGAACTTTAAATTTGTCATATACTGTTTATAAATAGTTCTAACCAATTAAAATACAAATTACGCTAGACAACTGTCAACCAATATTCAAAAGTCCATACACGAATTTACGGTTCAGCTGTGTCTTTTGACTTTTGAGCCTTGAGAAGAAAAATAAACTGTCAAATGTATGTTAACTTAGGTTCTTGTTGAAGGCGTAAAGATTGTTATAGCGATGGCTAAAACTAACGCATTCTTAGCATATGGAACAAAATTTTACGATCAAGTAAAAATGCCAGGTAAAGCCATTTTTATTGTTTAGGGTGTATATTTTCCAGATTTATTTATAACATATTGTAATTTTTTTTTAAAGTCAAACTCCCAGTTGTCCACAGAATAGGAAAAAAAACTTGTATTTATTATATCGCTTATATAAATTTCAAGGTGTATTTATCAAGGCTGTGAGGCTTTAGAATCCTGGTCAGATGAGTACTTTGAGTGTCTGTGCAGACATTATACAGCAACCATATACCACCATTCAGGTTTATACTTCATATAACAATCATATTCATTGTAAGGAAAGGGAAACTGATACACTATTTGGAAAATTTTAAGCCCTTAAGTGAGAATAGTTCGTGGAACCTGGGGAGTTCGGGTCAGGAAGAGAATGGGTGCGGAAGATATATTTTCTCACAAGATTACATTGTCCATGATGTTCTTTTCTAAACAGTGCTCCGTAATGTGCTGTTTGCGCTGAATAATGCATCGTTGGTAATAAAACTTTGATAAAATTGACATTATGTGTTCAAAGTACAGTATAAATTTGTAGGTGCATTACTTACTGCAAACGAACTGGATTCATCTAACTTTTTATTGGAGTAAATTTAAAAAAAGCAATTAATAATGATATTGTTTTTAAAGAATCTTTTTATTTTAGGAATAGCTAAGATGGGGCCCCCTTCAGACCCTGGGGCTGTTGTTAATCATGAGCTAAAGGTTAGTTAATGTCAGGGTATTAATATCTATCCAGTCATATCCCTTAATATATTAAATACAAAATTACATAATAGTACATAAAGGAGTTTTTAAAAAATATATTTTTGTTCTACAATATTTTTTTTATTTGAGTTTAATAAAAACGTTTATTAGAGTTTATTAAAAACGTTTCAAGCTGCAAACAATGTTGATTTCATTTAAGACTTGGTTAGGCATACAAATTAATAGAATTGTCTCTTTTAAAAGTTCTTATTCTTTCTTTCAATATTCTTTTCTTACTTACTATTTAACGGTTCTTATGTAGACGTTTTTTTCTTTCATCTACAAAATCTTTGATTAATATAAAAAAAAACATTTCGTTCGTTTACGTCATAGGAAACTATCGTTTACGTTATACGAAACTATCGTTAACGTTATAGAAAGCTATCGTTTGATTTATCAAAATTATCAAAATTAAATGTTTTTATACTCCTCTAATACTGGAGTAACACTGATGTATCAATTCTTGTTTACAAACAACGCCCAGAGAGAACTGGTTTCAATTTGCACGCATAGAATACGCAACAACGATTAACTTTCCTTGCCTTACTGCAGCGTTTTTTGGGGCCCCACAAGTTAATTACAAAAACATCTGTAATGAGAAATTCCGTTAAGGTGTATGGTGTGCCTCGGCTTCGTGTAGTAGATGCTAGTATTATGCCAACAATAGTTTCAGGTCTGAATTTAAGCATAATATTGAAATAACTTTATACCTGGAACAAAAAAGTTTAACGCCAACAGAAAACAAGTTTCCAAACATTTGAAAATGCTTTTAGCGAAGAATTGTTTTAGCATATTATTTAATTAACGTTTCACAAGATTCATATTTTGGCTGCAAGAACATCTCAAGCATTCAAAATAATTTTAACATTTTAAACATTTACAGTGTAATGATCTTATTTTAGGAAACACCAACGCTCCAACGATTATGATTGCTGAAAAAGCAAGTGATATGATTAAAGCGGATTGGGGATTCTACCAGGATAGTTTACATCAGGTAGATAAAAAAAACTTTTATTATTTTAAGACTGACTCTTAAAAGATATGATTGTAAATGTGATAAGTTCTTGAACAGAAATGTTCACAAAAGTTTTTGTAAAGATACGTTGGTGAATTTTTATAGAATGACATTTAAAGATTAATTGATTGTATCTTTAAGAACCCAAACCGCCGCGCCAGCCGATTAGGGTTTCCATCAGAATTCCATGAAACAGAAACGATCCGACCTTGTTTTCCTATACCACTATGGAAAAGGTTCCGGAATTCGGATTCGATTCAGAAACCCTTTCAGGATTTGAAACATGACGGAATAACTATGGGAAAAAATATTCGGGAAAAAAATTCGAAATATCGTTACATTTCAAAAATGGACTTTTTTTTGGAAAAATTTAAACCCTACTACACTCGAAATACAGCTCTACGAACAACTTTGTTTTATTTTTATACTTGTAAAATCCGCCGTACTGCCATTTTGAAATATTCTATTTGCAAATTAATACTTAATTTTGAATTAAGGCTGAGAAGAATCACGTTAGAAGACGATCTACTGGAGACCATATCAGGAACTGGCCGGTCAAACTCAACATTACAACAAAATATCTTACTGAGATATAAATATACAGCACTTATTTTATGTATATTTTATTTTTAACTTAAAATTTCTAAGAAATTTTAAGGATTTCACATATCTCCAGTTAGGTTTTTTTAGATATGGATTTCCATCATTGTATCTATAATATAACGGAGGAACAAGACTGTTAAGGTAATTCGTAGCGTTTATTTCCCAACCTTCTCAAACAAGTTTGATTCTGGAGAAGAAAAAAAATAATCACAGGATTCCCAACACGTCCTGTCTTACATAAAGTGATCAGCCTTTTTTGTGCTTTAAAAGTTGACGAAAATGTCAGACGATCATTCAATTTTGTCTCTTGGGACACCGTGCACTTAAAATTTAGAAAATTATGTCCGTTTTAAGATGTTTGATTAAAACATTCAGAACAACAATCATTGTTTCTCAAGGAAAATAGTAATAGTAATTATAAATTACCTATTGATTGTATTGTTCAAGAAACATAGAAAATATTTTTATAGTTGTGGTGGCTGCATTGTTTAAAGAGATTTAAAGTCGTCTCTCATTTTTATGTTCACTGTGTATTAAGTAAATATTTTTGATTAGTTTATCTGTGACTCTAAGAACATAGATTATAGATTATAGATACCCTGAAATAAATCCAGTTTCTTAACTTAATAAAATTTACAGAGTAATGAAGAAAAAGAGAAAAGGATAAAATTTCGAATGACAAAGACGACATTTTTCAACTTGTTATTTCCTGACTGGCTATACTTCAAATCAAAGGGTAATGTTTGAATCTACAGGGAGTTCCACGAAACATGACAGTTGGTGAACAGTTTTGAATGCATTGAATATAAATATTTAATACACTATATTAAATATTTAAGACTCGAAAATATTTTGCTTTGAAATCAATTTTCTATGAGATGGCTTCCATAAATTATTTTTATTATTCTCTTTGGTATCAAACAACTTAACAAATCATGGAGGAAGACATGCCTATGTGAAACCTTTAAAATATGACGAATTAAGGTAAAATTAGGCCTTCTGTAAGCTTAGTAACATTTTGCCTTGCACAGACTTGCAATGATAACATCTCGTCTTGATAACAACTCTCCTTGAAAATATTAATTTTTGCGAAGCAAGAAGAAGATATGTGGCCATTAAAAGTTGGGAAAAAATCACTTATAAACTGAAAGAAAATCTACCGGAAATAAATAGTTGGAACATGAACCATCTTCAGATTATACCCACTAAAATGTGCTTATTTTCGACTTCAAAGAAATAGTTCATTAATTAGCTCAACCTATCATAAATATTGGATACACAAATCTTAGTATTTGTTAAAAGAAAGTGGGGTTTCCATGGATTAATTAAAATAACAAATAGAACATTAGATGTTGTCTTCTCAAGATTTCTGTGCAGAAGTAGCTCTGCGCCTATACATTTTTAGAAATGTGTAATCTATAATCACAATAACCCTAGTGTGGCAGAAGCCCAAAGGAGTTGCACATAGTCGGCGTAGAACAGACTCTGTATTTTTCTACGCCGACCACGCGGAACTCCTTGGGACTTCTGCCTAAGGATTATTGTTAACGAAACGCACATAAATCTTGAAAAGACGACATGTAGTGTCCTATCGATTGTTTTACATCTGCTCAACGTTACATCCTTCCTAAGATACTTCGGATCATACTTGCACGTGGTTTTTCAGCAGTTTCAAGCTCGGCCCGAAAATTGATGTCTCAACCTAACCTAACCCCACATTGGCTATCAATTGGTCAATCTGCCCTGCAAAAGTTGTGCATCCGACCTACTAAAGTTGTGCATCTGACCTACTAAGTTGTGCATCCGACCTACTGAAGTTGTGAATCCGACCTACTAAAGTTGTGCATCTGACCTACTAAGTTGTGCATCCGACCTACTAAAGTTGTGAATTCGACCTACTAAAGTTGTGCATCGGACCAACTAAAGTTGTGAATCCGATCTACTAAAGTTGTGCATCCAACCTACTAATTAGTTGTGCATCTGACCTATTAAATATGTGCATCCGACCTACAAAATCTGTGCATACGATCTACTAAAAGTGTGCATCTGACCTACTTAAATTTGTGTGCAACAAGAACATCGATCCTTCTAGTAGCACTGTCAACTATAACTGACAACTGCAGTACATGCGTGGTCGGATTAAGAAATAGAATGTACATCCGACCTACAGACGGCGCAGGTCCGAAGTATCGTAGGACGGAAGTACTGTAGGACGAAAATGCTCTATGGCTAGTTGTTATCAAGACGATTTTTTTAATAAGGCGAAATGTTACAAAACCCTTCTGCCGCGAATATATGTAGTCTTTGAATGATTTTTTTAATGCTTTGTCAATTGAAAAGAAACAAGTTTACATTTACATAAATGTAAAGAAGCATGACACTATATAAACTTTGTCTCTGAAGTCTTTCGCTTGTGGATAGCCCTGAAAATTCAATGTAACGCTCTGTTTGGGTCAGATTGGGGTTAAAATTTTTGAAATTTTATGCTCAGACATTTGTGAAGAACCAAAAATCAGATTAAGATTTGTGATATACTAAACTTTAAATGCCGTTTAATTTAATCTGAAAGTGAGATTAAAAACTTTTCCGCTAAAAATCGCAAATTACAAAATTCTTAGCAACATTTCTTAAATAAAAAGATCAACAACGACATGCATTCCACAGCTTTCTGGTTTTACTGTATTACAGGGTGTCCCACGAAACATGACATTTAATAAATAGCCATTTTTAGTTAAACAAATCTTTCGCTAATTATATTTTACTTTGAAATCAATTTTGATATAACATGACTCCCATATATTTTTATTGATATTTAGTTTCAAACACCTGAAAAAAAATATGGAAAAAGATATTCTAAACTATTCACCAACTATCATGTTTCGTGGGACACCCTGTAACTCATATCTCACTTTATGTATAAAAATGTTGAAATCTTTGTCCCTCTGTCCTCTCACAGGATAAAAGCATATGCACATAAAAAACACTAAATAAATTTGAGTTGACTTTTTGTATAATTAATGATAACAATTTATTTCATGAGAAAGAAAAAGACTAAGGATCAAGCTGAGATTTTCCGTGAAGAATCTAGAAGAAACAAAATGGTTGTGCAACAGGGGGCCGTGGGTTTGATCATCTATATTCTGTGCTCTGCACCCGCGTGCACATGCACTGTGTAATTTTACTCAGCTGTTTATCAATATCAAATGATCAGAAATGCTATCGAACAATAAACAGAGAAGATATGAAAATATTACAGGATATATTACATATGTGTAAGAGGTTCGCATTTTCTGCGCAAAATAAAATACAAAAAAAATATATGAGTAAACACTAGCAAGAGGTATAATTCACAGAGTTAAGAGACACAAATAGCTGGATTGTATGAGGAAGGGATAAATGCAATTTTAAAAATGGACTGTAAATTTTGGTTTTCTCTATCAGATGTTTTATAAAGCCAAGTAGCTATATTTTTTTTTGTAAAGTTAGAGAAGGCATGAGCTTGTCAGCTCTTAGGGTCCCTTTAGTAGAACAAATTGTTCCAAAAAAAATGATTTTTTTACCTTTCGTGTGAGAGGATATACTCGATTTTATTATTTAATTTAATATTGAAAAGCTAGGAACTCATACTTTTTTTAGGAATTTGCATCATGTCATTATTTTAATATATGGCAATTGCAACGAAATTGGCAGGGGCGGATAGAGGGGGAGCGGGGGGACATTTGCCCCCTCCTGACAGATTCAGGGAGGGGCGTAGCCCCCCCCCCTGAATTTGGAATTTTTTGTTCCTATTTTCAGAATAGCTTCTCAATAGCATGCTTAAGGGAAAGAACCCCTAGTGCAAAACAGGAAAAATATCTGTCTTAATAAACTATAATGTGTGAAAAGTTAAAAATCTAGTTTTTTAGTATTTAGTCATTAATTTTGACTCTTTTTGAGTCTTTTAAGTCAAAAAAAAATTTCGTCAGCGGCGCGATTTTTTGTTCCTAATTGTGAATTTTTTTGTTCCTAAAATATCTTGCCCCCCCCCCCCTCACTTAAATCCTGTATCCGCCCCTGGAAATTGGAAAAATGCATATTGCAAGATCTTGAACCCTTTTTTAAAATTTGAACATAAATAAAGAATGGTATTACGCCAAATTTACCTAGTTGTTCACTTTATATTTCAATGACACGCATCAAACAAAGTACGCAGTTCCTCTAACTAAAAAATTACTCTCACAACAAAAGGTATTTGATAAAAAAGTAACTACTGTTAAGACTAATTTACAATCTTAAATGCACTCTTTGCAATAATTTGATAAAAATCTAGATTGACATGATTAAAATAAATCAAACCTATAGAATGAGTAAGGCACAACGCAAACAATGCTGTAGCAATGGGGGTTTTACAATTTCGGATTTTCTTGTCGTAAAACATTAGTCTTTGTAACAAAATTACGTAATTTCACTGACTACAATGGGAAAGGGTTAACAGTTGATACATACTTTCTATTTACCCTTGTCTAATGAATGAAAAAAGGAACTGGGTTAAACTCGTGCATTGTGATCAAAAAGATAACAATTTAGTTAAAAATGTTGCTTGTAATTTGATTTTATGAAACACTTTATTTTCAAAACAAAGCCAGATTTACCAAAAGCCAATAACCATACCCAAAGATAAAATTTGAAAGGAGGGTAAAATTTAAACATACTGGCCACAGTATCTAGAGTTGGTCTGAAAACAGTTTATCACAAGATTGGTTTCAGAAATTCTGAGAAGAAAAGTCAGACTAGTTGTATTAATTCTGAGAAGAAAAGTCAGACTAGTTGTATTAATTCTGAGAAGAAAAGTCAGACTAGTTGTATTAATTCTGAGAAGAAAAGTCAGACTAGTTGTATTAATTCTGAGAAGAAAAGTCAGACTAGTTGTATTAATTCTGAGAAGAAAAGTCAGACTAGTTGTATTAATTCTGAGATTCAAAAATTAATATTGAAATTGAGATATAGGAGCAATATGATTTGAGAGATAATAATATCACAAAATAAGTTTAAACGAACTGCTTTCTGTTAAAATATTAGAGTTAGCTGTCCTTCTTCTTTAAAATAATCTTTTGAGAATTTGACGATAGTTAATAAAAGATATCTAAACTCTAAACTTTAACAGTCTGATTGTGCAATGTTTAGACTTTTAACAAATTAACAATATTAGATCACAAGAAAATAACAATGATTAGATTTAGCTAAACTTATTTATTCATCACTGATGGATATGCATGGGTTTATATTAAGAAACTAAAATCCATTCAACCGTTCTGTTATCTATAAAGATTATGCCGCCCGTAACGACCATTTGAATTAAAACTCATTCCTGGATTAAAGTTATTTGATCCCGTGTTAAAGTTACCCATTCCGGCGTTGTAGTTACTGGAGCTTGAGTTGAAGTTCCCATACTCATCAAATTTTCTTGACCTGCCAGAATCGGAGTAGTGGTGATTGAAATCTGCAAGGTCGGAGTTGACCGGTGAGAAGTCGGTCAGTCTCTGAGGTTTTCTTGTGCTAAATTGAAATTTATGATATAGATGTATAATGTGAAATTTATGATATAGATGTATAATGTGAAAGTTATGATATAGATGTTTAATGTGAAATTTATGATATAGATGTAAAATGTGGAATTTATGATATAGATGTATAATGTGAAATTTATGATATAGATGTATAATGTGAAATTTATGATATAGATGTTTAATGTGAAATTTATGATGTGGATGTATAATGTGAAATTTATGATGTGGATGTATAATGTGAAATTTATGATATAGATGGATAATGTGAAATTTATGATATAGATGTATAATGTGAAATTTATGATATAGATGTATAATGTGAAATTTATGATAGAGATGTATAATGTGAAATTTATGATAGAGATGTATAATGTGAAATTTATGATATAGATGTAAAATGTGAAATTTATGATATAGATGTATAATGTGAAATGCTTAAACTTTCATTTACTTTTTAATTTCGTTTCAACTTTGAGTTAAAAATTAAAATTCAACTTCTTTACCTTACCTGTCATATACCGGGACATTGTATCTATCCATACCCATCCCAGGTCCTGAAACCAGGAGGTCGTCTTCATATCCATGCCGACCAAGATCCCTTCGCCCTGACTGTATCCTAGCACTACTCGAACCAAAGCTGGAAAAGTTTTGATGGTCATTTCTTAGAATTTCATCCACTGACCTTAGAACCCCAGTACCATCACGACCAGGGCTGATGTTAGGGCTGTTGTTGTAACCGGTTACATGAAGTCTGTTGATCTCTCCTCCTCCCATTTCAGCGGTCTCTCGTAATTTAGCTAAACGTATGAGCTCCTCGTGCAATCGCGCATTTTCCTCTATCTGGTTTCGGCGTCGGGAAATTTCCATTTTAATTCTGTTTTTTTTCTCCTCCTTAAAGAATTGATGCTCTTCTGTTTCCTCGTCACTGTGAAGAGGTGACGGATGCCAAGATCTTGCTCCAGGTCCCAGGGAACCCTGGCCTAGCTTACCACTCATAGAAGAGTGAGGCCTACAAAAAAACAGGTCATGCTTTTTTAGTACGTCAATTGTGAGTCAAAGTTTTTTCGGAAAACAGAGGAAAACAAAAAAAGGGGGGGGAAAGATCTTGTCGAATCTTTTCGTTTCACCTCTGGATGGACTGGATAAGCTGAAGAAAGTTGTAAATCAATGCAAATTCAGGCAATCCCCATTTAAAAGAATATAAAGCAAAACTGCAAAAACCAAAATCTAAGAAAATAATCAGAGAACAAAATCAAGCATAGATAAGGGTTTTATTTAAATCTTACCGTCTATTCATGGTGTTAATTACAGGGTTGTTTCCATAATCGTATAAAGCACTATCCATTCCTCCTCCTCCCAAACTAGACCTTCGCTGCATCATCCTTAATATAAGAACAATTAAATCAATATGGCTTATTTGATCAATCAATGAATTAATGAATTAATAAATTGAAGAGAAATACTCAAAAAAAGGTAATTTAGGGAAAATATCTGAAACAAGGTTACAACTTTAGACTTCTCACATTATTCCTTTTGATAGTGCAGCAATTAAAAGAAACATTTCAACAAAACAAGAAATATTCATATTTCCGAGTGTTTTCTTTTATTATTTAATTCAGGAAGTGTATATTTCATTATAAATATGATATATTTACATTACATTGTTGAACTGAGTAAATATTAAACTTTTCACGAATATATTTAAATAATTTAATCTATGCTTCCCGAGTCGAGTCGAAGAGGATCCTTGAGAATATAAAAATGAATTGGGTCGTTTTAGTTATTGTAAAATCATGCATTCTTGAGAAGGCCTTAAACATTCATCACACCGTATACAAATATATATTTCAAGATCATGAAGTATGGAAAACTATCCCGCATTCCCACAATGTAAAAGTATTCAAATCTATCACACTTGAACAATCAAAATATTTTTTCGGTATTGTAAACATTTCTGGACAAAAGGAGTCTTTGACACAAACTCAAATTATATCTTTGCAAAATTATGTTGCAAAGATATAATTTGATATATGATATTTTAAACTTAAATTTCAAATGGCTACGACATTGGGTTGCAAAAATATTAGGATTCGAAAATGGAATTTGTGGCCAAAAATCAATTGCTTTTGTTCTTAATTTCTTTGTTGAAAGAGAGTAGGTTATTGTCATGGGCAAGACAATTATTTTAATTTTGACAAGAACTGTATTTATTAAAGATTGCAAAAATTTCAAGCTTCAGGAGAATTTATGCAGCAGCTTGATCAATTCTTACGGCAGCAATGCTCGAGGGGAGGAAGGCCAGCCACAACAATTCCCAATCCAAGCCACATTCTCCTCATTTCATAATTCAAAAATTATATCATGGTATTAACTTGAACATGGTCCATAATCTTTCAATCACAACCCATATAAAGAAATCATTGATTTCTGATATATTTACAAATTAGGCAAATTTTTGTTCTCGTACCAAGAACACTTCTGCCTGTCACACGATAATATCCAATCCAAGGAGAAAATAATGTTTATTTCAAATTATTTAAATCATTTGCTACAATTTGTCCGTCACAACCCTATGAATTCAATCAGTATTAAAATCATTAAGAAAATGTGGTTGAAAACAAAGTGTAAGAATAAGAACAGTTGTTTTGATTGAATTTTATACTAATTTGCGGCATTCTACTCGGCAAAAGGCTACTGCAGACAGATGTTTTTTTAGAACATCATATACATTTTTTCACAAATTTTAAATTTGTAAAAAAAAGTTCAATATTTCTTTTATTCCCTAACGTGGACAGATTTTCAAAAAAGATTCTTATCTTTAAGGATTGAACACAAAAAATATTTTTGAAAGGACTAGGATTTTGAGGTGGCTCGGACGAGAAAATGAGGAGAATGTGGCTCGGACTCACATCTTAATACCAGTACCTTGGATTATTGTAAGCCCTGAATTTTTCCTCCTCTGTTAGTCCGTACCCTGGTACTGATGATTCTCTCAATCCCTGAATATTATGTTATTGAAATGTTTCTAATTCTTTCTCAAAACGTTTATAAAAAATCAGGTTTGTTCCAAAAAATGTTAGAAATAAGTAAACAACTAATTAATAAAATAAGATATTTTAGAAGTAAATTTATTGCTTCTAGATATAAAAACATGATAAATAACGAGTGTATTTAAGGAGAGGAAGTTGAGTAGGTCTTCTGTGGTTGCAGGATCCTGGTTTCAGGATCTACAAGTAGGTTAAAGATGATAAATCAATTGCTTGATGGCCCCAAAACATAGCTGTTTATTGGATTAGCTCCGGGATTAGCTGTGTAACTAATTAGCTCCAGGAGTAGCTAGGAGTGTAACTGATTAGCTTCTAGAGGGTTTAAGTTTAGCTTATTTGCCCAGGATAAGCTGAGGTTTAGCTTATTATCTCCAGGAGTATTCGAGGTTTAGCTTATAGCTCCGGGAGTAGCTGCGGTTCAGCTGATTAGCTCCAGGAGTAGCTGAGGTTTTGCTTATTAGCTTCTGGAGTAGCTAAGATTTAGCTTATTAGCTCCAGGAGTAGCTGATTGTAGGATGAAGGAATAGTGAATTTGTGGATAAGAAGTTTAAGCTTGAGATTGGTATCCTCGTCCAATCCTTGAGCTGTTTCCGACCAGGAGGCTGTGATTTCTGCAATGGTTCGTTTGTTGTCTGGGGTCACCACTTTAGAAGTAAATTTATTGCTTCTAGATGTAAATACATGATAAATAACGAGTGTATAAAAGGAAAGGAAGTTGAGTAGGTCTTCTCTAGTTCCAGGATCCGACACTACTGATTTGCAGATTTTATAAATTATAATCCTCGGTCCGGGATTTCTTCCTCTTAGATATCATGATTAATAGTTTTGATAAATATGTAATTTAAACAGAAAACTAAGTTTCTCCATAAAAAATAAACATAATTTACTTTCAACCACGTCTCTCAGGCCGAATTAATAATCTTGCACGTTTGTTAAAATTGTTAAAATGCAAATAATACAACTAACCTCAAACAAGTAGGATTGTGAGTTATCTGTTCCATAATCATAAGAATCCAGATGTCCCCCAGATAATGAAGAAAAAGGTCTATTCGGCAAACTGCTGAAACCAGTCTAAATAAAACATATTTTGTGAGCCTCTTGTTGACTCGATTAATTGTCCCAAGCCAAAGTAAATTTGAGATATTTTTGACTCTTAGAACAAAACAGTAACGGTAACAAAAATTAACGATTTTTTTGTTGAATGTGTAATTATTTATTATTAGTATTTTTCCGGAAAAAAAACTGATTATATTAACAAATAAAATTGTGTTTTCAGAAACTGTTTTATTAGGCTTCAACCATAAAAGAACTTAGATATCTTTTAACTTTTAAATTTTTAACCAATGACCTTTTAATCCAACTAAGAAAAGAGTTTATATTAGGTCTAGATTGCAAAGATGTATGGATTCCATAGAAGTCAAAACGTGTATGTTGTGAATTCAAAAATCAAGCAAATATCAGTGGCCTGAATCAAACACTTTATTATGAAATTTAAAAATTGTCACACATCAAGCGTAGCGTTGGTGATTAGCGCTATATTCACAGTACAGTTTTGTCCTCAGTTCATTGTGTACTCACATCGTCTCCCATTGAATCTGTAAGCGAGGTTGTAATTCTACCATCCGACAAGTTCCGCCTATGTCCCCGCATCCGTCTATAATAAAGAGAGTCTCTGCTGGAATAAATATTATGTTTGATGTCCCTTAAACTTAAACTAAATACATTTTATTTTGCAAATGTATATATCTAGGGCTACACAAAAGTATAAGTGAGTTGATGAGGTAAAACAAAAGGCAAAAGCGTTGCAGCACTTTGAAGTCGAGGCTGTCTAAAAATTATGACTTTGTGACAGAATCATATACAGGGTGTCCCACGAAACATGACAATAGGAAGACGACTTGAAAGTCGTCTTTGGTATTTGAATTTATTTGTGACATTTAGTCTTCTATCTACTTTAACATGTAAGATTCTTGAAACAATTATCACATAATTCTCCTAGCCCTGGCATTTCCAAAAAGTGGTCTGCGTTTTTTGTGCTTTCAATATTACCTGAGATATAAAGAGTTTGGTTCAGATTTCAATTTTGTTAAATAAAAGCAAAATTGTCGAAATCTGAACGAAATTCTTCATATCTCGGGCAATATTGAAAGCACAAAAAAGGCAGACCACATTTTGGAAATGGCAGGACAAGGGAAATTTTGTGATTATTATCTCTAGAAATTTACTTCTAAAATTAGGTTGACAAATAAACGCAGCAAATTATATCAAAAATCAAGACGACATTCAAGTCGTCCTGCATACTGTCATGTTTCGTGGGACACCCTGTACATATATAACTCAGTGCTTTAAGTTCCGGCTGGCCATTAATACTGCGCGAGCGCACAAATCTTTTTATAAATGTCATCTTTCGTCTGTGGAGATTTCTTACACCTTCCCTAGAAACCCAACGTGAAAGGCAGTTTGTGTGAACATAGGAATTTATTGATAACATCCAAATATTCAAAATATAAGAAGTAACAATATATAAGAATTCAAAGACGACATATATTAGCTGTGCGCTGATTTTCTCTACAGGGAATTGAATCTTTAACACAAATCCAAATTGTCTAATCACTATATCTTTGCAACATGATGGTGTAAACCTTTGATATTTTGAACATAGATTATTTACCTAACAGAATCCATAGCTTGAAATTTCTAAGGTTTACGACATTGTGTTGCAAAGATATTGGGATTAAAAAATCAGAGTTTGTGGCAAAGACTCAATTCTTTTCTTCACCCCAATCTTAAAAGGCAGACGTGCGCAGATATATTTATAGCTAAATTAGAACAATTGCTTACAGAAATATTTATCAAACAAGTAAAATTTGTTTATAAATATTAACTACAGGGTGTCCCAATAAACATGGGAATTCAGTGACGAATTCGATATCGTCTTTTTAAATAATTCTTTGATTTAGTATAGTGATACCTACTGAGAAAGCTGTAATCTGTTTCGTTTGCTATGTTCACATTTTGTTTGTTTATGTTTTGACTGCATACGGTTGTACTTAATAAAACAAGAAAATTGCAGTATATAAACATAGTAAACTTGTCCGTCTTCACTGTTCATCTTGCGGAGACATTATAGACACATCTTTACAGTCTTTTATCCTTTTCATAAAATAAAATCTAGCAGACATAATAATATTATGGCTTTTGAAATTAGGTATTACAATGCTAATTCATAACAAAGACGATATCCAATTCGTCACTGAATTCCCATGTTTATTGGGACACCCTGTATCTACCTTGTTCTGGAAAGCTGATTATCCATGACAGGGTTAAGCTTATGTTTCATCTCCGCCCTAAAACCAATCAAAACTTAATGAACAGATTAGAAAAATACAGTTTAAAGAAATTTCAGATTTAACACCTGACAATTAGTAATGATCTTTTATCGTCGACTTAGGAAACAATCTTTAGAGAGAAAGAAATAAGATCGAGAAATAAAAACCTTTGCAATAAATAGATTAAAAATTATGTCACTTTCACAAAGACGATGGACTGAACAACAAACTTTTTGTTTATGTCATTTATATATTTTTCTTCCTGTAATGGCAAAATTATCGTAGAAGGTAGACCAAGACGTTAGGATTTTGAAATCAGTCCTCAATTAAACTCGAACGAAAAAGTTCATATAATTTTTCCGAAATATGTTACATTTTTATATTAATCTATATAAAATTGATTGTCACCTTAAACGAGGATCTTTAGTAGCTGCGTATCTCTGCATCTCAGCTCGTATTCGTTCAGACTGAACTCCAAAAAGTTTCTTTTCAGCGTTAAGCCTGGCAATTTCTCCAGCGGAAGGTCCTGAGGTGTTAGAGGAAACTCCGCCTTTCAGGTCGTTTTCAATTTGCTGCCGAATATTCTATACGGAAAAAATCAGTTTCATATTTGAATGAGGCATGAATATGAAATTTTTTTAGTTTCTAGTATAGTCTCAGGTAGTTTCTGGTAGTGTCACCTATATTAGATTGCGCAAAGCAATAAAGCGATTTTTTACTACAGGAAACTGTGTAGTAAGAAGACGACATAAAAGCAATTTTTAAGTACATTTGATGGTGTTACAATGCAAATAGATTTATTGATAAATTATTAGGTGAAATAATCCAGCGCATTAGCTCTTGTGTTTTAACCCTCCTCTCTTCAAACTAACCTCGTATTCACCATTTTATCCTTCTTAATAATATAATCAAACTTTCCCCTCCCTACATTCTGGTGTGGGTAACTTCAAACACATTATTCAGGGGAAGGGTAAAAGATTGGTTGGAAGAAAGAGTGATTTTTGAACAGTCTAATGCGTACAACATCAGGATTACAGAAATGCTCGAGAGAG